GCGGCTGGGCTGCCTTCTCCTGCGACTCCTTTGCAAACAGTGGGCTGGGTCCGGGGCCGCTGCCTGGTGCGGAGCTGAGTGGCTGCCTTGAAGCTGGTCACCTTCTGGATGGTGAATGATGTTGGGCATGAAGGAGACTTGACTTTCTCTTCCTTTGCTAGCTGTGTGGAAGTTGCTCGTTAAAACCACCCATACTAGGGCAGAGAACCGTGATAGCTGTGGTACTCCAGAGGAAGAGGAAGGATGAAAATATACATTCAAAGTGACTGGGGGGTGCCAGTTGAAAGCAGCCCATGCCATGTGTGTGTTTCAGAAGGGAGCAGCTGGCTACGCTCTGCAAAGCGCAGTGGCCCCACTGCCCGCGAGATGCCTGCTGGCCTGAGCTCCCAGCTAGTACAGCTCTGCAAAGTCACTCGGTGTCACTTGCTGCTGGTACCTCATCAGGACAAGATCTGATCTGCGGGAGCGGTGGCTCTTTGACCAGCTCCCAAGTCCAAAAACAAACCGGGAGGGAGCACCGGCCACAAAAGGGTTGCTTGCCTAGAATTGGGCCGTTCTCAACTTCACACACAGTGGCTGACAGGATCAGTTTGTGAAGGTGGAAGGACTGAGACTGAGCCGCATCTTGTACCCATGAAGCGTCTTCTGCTTGTGAGGCTGCACACCCATGACCTGCGCTCACCTCTCTGTAGCAGTCCCTCGTGCGTTCTGATTTGCCAGGACCTCAGTCTAGCTCTAAACTTCCTCTTGCAAGTTGAAAGCGACCACCAAGCTGAATGTGAAATAAGAGACTCGAAACCAAAGATGGGTAGGACAAGTGTTTTGTGCGTATGACGTCGAGACAATTGAGCAACTGATTCGGGTGCTCTGAATTAGTCACTGAAGAACCCTTTGTGCAAGACACAAGTCAACTGCCCTGAACCACATTACGTGAGTATTTTTTGCCATGATACTTACTTTCTTTTGTTTGTTTTTCCTGAGAAGAGAGGTAGGGAAACCTAGAAGTGCTGTACCACGTCTAAAAGTAGGAAAAAGTGAAGGCTGCAGGTTATCTCTATATTTTCCTCCTCGCAATCTGTTTAGTAAAGGCAGCTGTCGTGTGGAAGGATTTGGATATCTCAGCACTGTAACCTACATCATGGCTTGGGTGAGTGGGTGCTGTCTTCACCACTTGCTGGTGTGTGTCGCAGAGGGAGTCCGTGTGAAAATGCGTTCCCAGACAGGACGAGAATTTATTCTGAGAAATAAGGTAACAAGTCCAGGGAGGATCTGATGGCAAATAAGGACCAGAACCTCAGCAGTTCAGCTACAGAGAACTTTTGAAGCTCTCGATGTAGATATCCCAGGCACTGAGGACTTTTATTTTTTTTTTCAGCCTCGCTCCTATTTTGAGTCCTGCATGGGCATGGTCCTTGGAGGATGTAGGTCTGCTTGAGGTGTACAGCTTTCAGTAGTGTAGCTGGAAAGTAGGATGCTTTGGCCCGCTGCTCTGAGGATATGCTGCAGCAGCTGAGAGCTCGGGAACTGAGCATGAATTTTGCTGCGTTTGTAGGTCATGTGTGCTCAGGCACGGATTGTACAGCAAACTGTGTCATGGCAGAGCTGCAAACAGTGCAGCCAAACTGCACAACTTTCCCCTCTGCCTCCGAAAAGCCCAGCCCCCCAAATGGGTTTTTTGACAGGCAGACTTGAGAGAATTGCAGAAGGCTTGCTGCTGCTTCTTGGGATTTTGTTTGTGGCGAGGGGAGGCTGCTGAAGGGCAGAGGGGTTTAATATCACTGACTGCAGGCAAGAGCAGCGTGTGCTGACTGGAAAGCTGTAGTGACCATTTCTCAGCCTGGAACAGAGCCAGGGGTCTCCCAGCAGCTAATTCTGGGCCTGCAATACCTGCCTGAACCTGTCTCAAGTGTTTCTGGGATTCCTTTGCTGAGAAAAAATGTGCATTTGGAAAGCAAAAAAGTTAGTGACCATGTCTGGCCATGTAAACAGAAGGAAGCTCTCTTAGCACTGAGCAGTGGCAGGGAGGAGGCCTTCTCACCATGAGCAGCACCCTGGAGGAAGGGGATTATTTCTAGAGTAAGGAGCCTGTGCTCCTACCAGACTTCTCTGAGAGCATACTAAGAAAAAACGTCCCATTGCTTTCTGAGAAGAGTTAACATCTCTGAACATCTCGGTTCAGATGCTAGACCTGAACCCCACACCGCCAGAAAGATTCATTACTTAAGGGAAAAAGCAAAGCTTTTTCAGGCTGAGCCCTCCCTACTGCTCTCTCTGTCTTCCCTTCCAGGGCTCAGAGCAGTCTCACACCGGAGACGTATCTGACATCTGCGCTTCACTGAGTTTCAGGCTAGGACACTGGCTGACCTGAGAGGCTGAGCATCCTGGTGGCAGAGATCATGTCCTTCTCCCAAGAACCGGAGGAAGTCTTTCTCTGACCTCGCAGTTCGGTTTGGCTGCAGGCTGTTGCTGTCCTGTCCCAGGGAAAACTGATGCATGTGTCACCTCTGCCATTCTTTAAAGGCTAAGATGAAGCTGTTGCTGAGCCTGACTCTGCTGCTGATGTGGTTGGGTAAGCTGTAAGTCATTCTGGTGGCTTTATTCACCTCGCCTGCTTTCTCCCCTGCCTTTGCCGAAAGACCCTCTCTTCCTGTGGTGGGAACCCCTTGGGAGTTTGCGGGCACACGGAGCTGGCAGTGCTGTGTGGTCTCCTGGGTACCAGGAAACAGCTCTGCTCTCGTACATGTGTAGGCTTCAGATTGCAGCAGCGTCCCTGGATGGAGTCCTGTACTTAGTTCTGCCAGGCTCCGAGGCTTTGAAAGAAGTAGAACGGCTTTGCCTAGTCTTAAGTAGAGGGAAAGCTTTCCAAGGTATTGATTTTGGCTCTGCTCGAGGCAGCTGGCTCCTCTCCACAAGCAAATGCTTGTCATTTTCAGCTCCACAGCTGGTCAAGAGTGAAAGAAACCTGTTTGGGAATCTCTAGAGCTTTGCATTTGTTATTTACAGGGCATCACACAAATAGCTGGTGCTTCGCTAGGGCTCACCCCTTAGTGGCTTTTTGTTGACGGGGGACAGAGGGAGCGCGGG